TGCCCCGTTGCCACAAAACAAATGACTACACCCCACCCACGCATCCAAGTACGAGAAGAAAAAATAAAATTGTCGGGCGCATTCGTGACGTTTTTCTGACCTAGAAAGCTTTGTACGCAACCGTCTAACATTCCCCCCTAAAGACCTACACATGCACACAGCCACACAAAAGCATCTAACTGAAAACCAAAGCCATAAAAAAAAGAGAGAGAGAAAAAAAAAAGACGCCTCAATGCATATTCGTTCCGTCGAACTTCAAAATACTGTTACTAATAATAAATCCTCATCCAAGTAGCACACCGTGTCCAGATACTTTGATAATTTTTTCCATTACATAAAAACAAAAATAATAATGGCATCGACAATAACAATAATCAGTACACGGGGTCGGAAAGGCCACAGGTGGCCAAATTTTCAGGTAACTCAATCTTTTTGCCCCCATGAATAAATTCTGCATAGGTGTCGGTAATTGGATTGTGGTCTAGGCTAATGTCGGCACGGGTGCGCTTTTTCCCCACATCTGAAGTGTCAAGAAAACGCACCGGTGTTTCTGTCTTTTCATTCGTTGCATCCGACGGATTCGAGGCTGACAGCGCGGCCGCCCTCGTCCCGCGGTCCCGGCCAAGCAGCACCAAATGAAAGAAGTTCCCCGCCATCGCGCACTCCGCGAGAAAAACACTGCAGCCGACGCCTTCATAAATCCCTCGGACACAATCTGCGATGAGAACATTTTTTAGTCGCGCCTCGGATTCAATGCCGAGGTACACGCCGTCGCGTCCTCCAATAAGGCTGCAGTCGCGCAGATATACTCGGGAACGCTGCGTCGCCTCGATGCACGGAAGCATAGAGGTGCTTCTCCAATCTACCCCATCCTCGTCATACTCGTCTGATGTATCCTTCAAGCCCTGAAAAGTAACTTCGCACGCGTCCAAGGTGGCACTGCGCGAGAGTTGTATGCTCCCCTCAATTGTGGAATTGTTACCCCAAATAGAGACATTTGTGTGGGAGATTACTATTGGGCAATGCGATGCTAACGCATAATGGTGGTTTTCCAGGAGGACAATGCGGGACCCGGGCGTCTGCAGTGCCTTCTCAAGTTCTGCAGCAGTGGTTGTCACAAGCAAGCCCGCGCCGCCCACAACCTTCTTATCCAGCTGGGCAAGCTCATTGGCGTAGCGCTTTTTATCTACAAGTCGCAGAAGCTCACGAATGACTTCATGCGCAGCGTCAAGACGCTTCATGACACACTCCAACTCGCCACGTAAACGTCTCTCGGCACTTTCGTGGTTGCTGCTTCTTTCTTCGTCCGGCAAAGGCACGCCCGTTCCAGCGCACCCCCCCTGCTGGGAAAAATGGCGCATCACGAAATGAGTGAAATGTGGCTGAACAGCGGCGGACCTTCCGTCAATGCATGGACTGGCGCGGGACCACACATTACAACAGCGCGATCCAGAAAAAGCCGAAAAACACAGCAGACACTGACGCCGCTGCATCATAGACACCTTGAAAAATCCTTCCAAGTTGCGGCTTGCAGGCCTTGTGTGTCGTTGTTCTTTTGGCGGTGTGATGAGACGTCACACTGCTACACACGCAACGCGCCTCGAGCAACTCACTTGAGGAATAGAAGGGTGAAATGGAGGTAAAACAACAGAAAGGGCCAAGTAAGCGTAAAGAAGTGGAAGAAGGCTCCAAATGGATGTGTGTGTGTGTGTGTGTGTGTGTGCGTGCGTGGGTGTCAGCCTCATGGTCAGTACGCCATAGAATCTGCATGAAATCAACGCCCGTATGCAGGTTTGTCAAGCTCGGAGCGCACACTGCCCCGCCAGGATAAAAGAAGGACAAAAGCAAAGCTGCGTAGCGGGCCTTTCATTTCCGTGTAACCGGCAAATGCATACGTAGAATAACAATTTTTACAAAAAAGAAGGGCGAGAGGTGTTGTTTCTTAACTGTTGACGCATTGCGCACGAACATTTTTTCGCCCTCCTTCAGCGGCAGAGCTGTTACGGGCGTTGTCGCCCTGCGTCTCGCCCCAACGAGAGCAAGCCAGAAAAAAAAACGAACTAAGCAAAAAGCAGAAAAAAAAAGAACAGAGAAAGTTAAGTAGAGGGAGGAAGGAAGGGAGGAAGGAAGGAGGAAGGAAGGAAGGAACGCGAAAAAAGACGCGCCGTGCAGGAGGGTTCTGCCTTACAATCTAGGCCTCCACGTGCAACAGCCGAAATCCGGTCTGCACCGCCGTCGTCAAATCCGTCCGCAGGCGGTGCTCCCAGTACGGCATCGCCCGCGGGCTTGGGAAGTACGGCGGGAAGATGATGCTCAACACATCCGCTAGCACCTCCTCCTTCAGCAGCCGGTCCGAGAGCGTCGTGGTCGAGAGCGACGGGGAGGAGTTCACTTCGATCAGGTGTGGCCGCAGGCAGTCGTCGATGAGGATGTCGTAGCCGTAGAGCTCAAAGCAGTGCCGGTCGTTGAACATCACGGACTCCATCGCCCTGAGGCTGTGGTAGATGATGAACTCAATGCTCCGCATCAGCCCATCTGCGCACACCGCCCCGTACCGCCCCTGCACAAAAAGGCACAAGTTCGCCAGCGACCACTTCCCGCCATGCATCTCGTTGTACGTCTCTTCGCCCTTCTGCAGCGCCACGTTCGTAAGGTGCGAGCAGAGGTTATCGTCCTTGAGGGCGTTGGCCACGTAGGGCGCGGCGCAAAAGCGGGCAAAGCCCTGCTCATGCAGGTAGGCCACCAGTGGCTTAAAGGAGTCACAAGCACGTAGAGACGCAGGTCAAACTTCC